CATTTAAATTCAGTCTAAACTCTTGTTGATGACCATGCACTCACAGTACAAATTATGATTGAGTGGCTGGTCATCTTATAGGGAGGTGGCTTCTTGAATCGAACAACAATAGGTTCCTTTCTAGAAGATGGAGGTCCTAACACATCTACATTTTGGAACAGAACTCATCGCATGCAATTTAGAATCTACAATATGTGTAGTTTCATGGAGTCCAGGGCTGTCATTAACAGGTGGGGGCTGGTGATTTCCCCCTGCAGCTACTATGAATGTGGCCCTCGCCTACTTTCATAAGAAAATGGAAGAAAAAATAGAACCAAAAAGAATTCCCTAGCTGTTTTATTCCCTGCCTACTTGTTGTATTTACCCATGCATAAACTTGAAATCTTAGTGACATCCCTGTTGTCATGTGCTTTGAGCACTACAGCAAACAAAAAGATTGAACATTAAAATGCCTCAAATGTTTGCTACAGGGGGATAAAAACAATTGGACATTTTAAAATCATCTGACATCCAAAACAGTCATTCTGGTTCCTTATGAGAGGGGATCATTCACAAGAGACTCCAGCTGTTGTGGTTCAGTTGCGGAAATTTTCCTGTTTTTTTTTTGGTTGCTTATGGGAGGTGTCACCAATGAGAGCTGGACTGGTACCAAATGGACGAGGCTTGACTCAATAAGTACTGTTTACTACATGTATCACTGATGAAGTGTACCAGACTCTGTAACTGTTGTTGTCAGTGAAACTGACATGATGCATTAGGAAAATGATGTCATTATTGTGTACTGCTCAGACTGTACCTTAAGAAATACAGTGTTTTCAAATTATGGCTATGGGTGTATTTTAAGTAAGTGAACATGTCTGTGATCAGGTACATGGGGTTATTGCANTGTTGTGGTTCAGTTGCGGAAATTTTCCTGTTTTTTTTTTGGTTGCTTATGGGAGGTGTCACCAATGAGAGCTGGACTGGTACCAAATGGACGAGGCTTGACTCAATAAGTACTGTTTACTACATGTATCACTGATGAAGTGTACCAGACTCTGTAACTGTTGTTGTCAGTGAAACTGACATGATGCATTAGGAAAATGATGTCATTATTGTGTACTGCTCAGACTGTACCTTAAGAAATACAGTGTTTTCAAATTATGGCTATGGGTGTATTTTAAGTAAGTGAACATGTCTGTGATCAGGTACATGGGGTTATTGCACGTAACATAATTATAAAGTGACAAATAATTTGATTTCTGCAGATCTGGAAATAATCCCAGGAGGGTGTGCTTATTTGTAGTGAATGCTTATTTGAGGGGGAGATACTTACATGTATTTGAAGGGGTCGCTTATTTCATATTTAAGTATTTCAGCCTCAAGATAGCATTTGTCTTTGTTTCAAACAGACAAAAAAAACTAAGCAATGAAACTACAACATATTTTTAAATAAATACCCAAGTGTGTTTCGGTCATGTTCTTAGCTTGGAACTTTCCATTAAAACTATCCTTACTTAAATACATTACTTTCAGAGGAGCTGGTCGGTCATTAACATCTGATCGTGTGATGTCTCCAAATATTAGTTATTCTGCTGTGCCTGTAACGTTTAAGCTATCCTTTTGAAAGATAAAAGTCCGGTATACCATTTATTTAGCAAGGCAGGGTGTTTATTAAAGGTGGTTGCTTATATGAAGGGGAAGGCTGGAAGCTTAAAAGCACAGTACTATCCCATTACTTCCCATGTACCAAACTTAGCTTTTTTTGACAGGATGTTGAGAATTCAAACTTAATGCACATAGTGTTATAGAACCTTCAAAAAACTTTGCATCATGCTTGGTTGAGTTCATTAACTAATACCACTAAACCTTCTCAAAATTACAGATCAATGAATATAATTATTATTCCTGTTAAGTTTTGATTTGAGTGAAATTGGGAGCGTAATTTTGAAGTTGCTTTCATTGCTGTTGGCTATAGATCAAGGACTGTGAGAAAGGATCGAAGCATTTGATGTCAAATACAGGCTTATCTCTCCTGCCAGGTTCCATACAAGCTGAGATAATCGTAAGAGGAATATATAAGCAGAAATGAACAGCAACAATTATATATAACAAGGAAACCCACGAGACATAGATCTTGCAACGACATGTTATAAAAAAATCTCCTTAAAAAATACCACCAACGAAATAAATCAAACAGTCCCTTAAATGTTTGACTAACCTTTGAGATGCCTTCATTGTGTAAAGACTGCATTTTTATTTATAGCCCTACAGGGGCGGATCTAGGGGGAGGGTGCAGGGGGTGCGCACCCCACCCTGAGATGACCTGCGGTTTTCTAATACAACTGGTATTCTGCCAAAAAAAAAAAAAACTATGTGGTTTATTGGTGTTGAAGTAGAGCAAGAGATGAGTGGATCCCCTCCTAAAAAAAATCCTGGATCCGCCCCTGCCCTAGAATGTTTGAGGCTAGAATGTACGTGGGCAAATATTACTCGATTTGAGCTAATTAATTGCCACAGG